TAAATCTAGAGGAATTGCATTTCCTGCAAAAATGCAGTGTGAATGCTGAATAACTTGCTGAAAAACATCTGAAATTAGCTTAAATCATGCTGAAATGTAGCTGAAATTGAAGAACAAACCTAAATTAGCAGAAACAAAGCAGACAGATCACACATTCGCTAAATTAGATTTAAATAAACAGAACTGATCACAAAAATTAGGAAACTGGCAAAAAAAAAAATCTGAAATTAGAAAAAAAAATAGCTGAAAAGGCAGAAAGAAGCTCAAACTACCAGGAGGAAGTGGAAGGAGCTGAAATGAGCAAAAAAAAAAAAAGTGGAATTAGTTAAAAAAGCAAAATTTAGCACAATAAAACAGCTAAAAGGTAGCTGAAACTACCAGAAAAAGCTGAAAGAAGCTGAAATTAGGGCTGAAAGTAACAGAAATTACCACAAAAAAGTTACTATCTGAAAACAGCTGAAATTAGCTGAAAATGCTAAAAGAAGTAGCTGAAAAGGTAAAACAAGCTTAAATTAACAGAAGAAAGCAGAAAGAGCACGTTTGCCCAATTAGACTGAAAGAAGCAGAAATTAGCATTAAACGGTGGATATTATCAGAAAAAGCTGAAATTAGAAAAAAAAAAAACAGCTGAAAAGTAGCTAAAAATTGCAGAAAGAAGCTTAAATTACCAGAAGGATGTGGAGAGAGCACAGCTTTAATGAATTAGCCTCAAAAAAATTTAAATGAGTGCAAAAAATGTGGAATTAGCCAAAAAGCTCAAATTAGCATAAAACAGCTAAATAGTAGCTGAAATAGCAGAAAAAGCTGAAACTTGCATAAACAAGCTGAAATTAGCAGAAATAAGTTACAAAAAACACAAAAATGTTGTAGTTAGCAGAAAGAATCTAAAAGGATTACAAAACAGTTAAAATCAGCTGAATTTTTTAAAAAATTTGCACAAGGAAGCTGAAAGAAGCTGAATCAGAACAAAATGTGAAAGGGGCAGTAAAAGGTTGTAAACAGATCTAAAGATTTGAAGGATGTAAAATGAGCTCAATTCATTTCCTATGAGGAAAAAAGTGGCAATAAAGACTAAGCATTTCAAAAAGCTAAAGCTGCATGAATACCAAAAGTCATAGCACCCTTCTGAACGAGCTGAACGTTTTGATTTGTTGAAATAGAACAAAAATTGTGGAATGAGAAAGATGCCAAAAAAAAATGTACGGATGAAAAATGGATGACATTGTGTGAATGCTTCATAAACATTCACACAATTACATAACAAGCTACTGAGAACGTCAAGGTAGAACGGTTTTGTTCCTTGTATAGTTGTACAATGATACTTCAAGGAAGGATTCTCTTTAGTCAATTTAGTTTTCATTTAAAAGACGTACAACATTCTGTTTTCAAAGTAATGTATAAAGTCCAAGAACAAAGAATCACGTTCATTTTAAAACGATCGTTGGATAAGTAAGATCCAAAGGTTTGTATGGAAATGCAGAGGTTTTTGGAAACAGGTTAAGCCTGAGAACTAATTTATGCAGATCTGGTGAAATAGTTTTAGAGCGGGATTGAAAAGTTGATATGTTGTTTTAAAGAATAGTTTAGTCATTTTGAAGTGAGCTTCTGTGGAAAAATTATAAAAAATGTAGATTTACCTGTTGTAAATAGCTCTTTGAACTACCTCAGTTTGGAGAAATGGAATTTATGTCCAAAAGGACTAGTGAGCCGTCGACTAATGTTAACAAGAAGTACATACACGTCTCCCATCACTGAAGGGTTTGAGTGTTTCTGGTTTTCGACAACAGTGTTTTTCTGGACTTGAATTGAACAGTGAATGCAAATAAACTTTAATGTCATTGGTGCAAGACATTCAAGTGGTAGGAGTTACACTGTGCGTAAGAATAGACAGTTTATTCTTTCTTTTCTGAGGCAACGCAGAGCGACAGATTCTGGTGAGTGGAGGGAGCAGTTTTATCCACCAGGTGCAATGGCAGAGCCAGAGGGTGGCAAATGGTGGCCTTGGCCAATCACCGTCATAGAGTAATCTTCAGGCACCAAATCATATCAATCCACCATATCATTGGAGGAAACAAGGGATGCACGATATTGGATTTTTGGCCAATATCCGAAAAGCCAATATGTTAAAACTTATTTGGCCGATACCAATACCAATATATTTTTCCTGGACTTACTTACAGAGACTACATAGCTTTCTCTGTTGTGGAATTTGTACTACATTTTTCTGCATGGTCTTTGAATGAATGGACCGCTGGTGAGGTTTTGTTTCTCCACAGTTGACCTGTCTCTCGCTTTCCTTTCTGACCACCATCGTAATGATCAGAATGGTGGTTCTTCAGATGGTTAATTAGGTTCGAAGTGTTGCAGGACTTTGTTTTTGCTCCTCCTTGCATCACTGACGCTCAGCAGTCATTAAAAATAGCCGTTCTGCTATCAGTTTCCGAAACTTAAAAAAACTTCCACACCACTGACATTTTCACTCCTTCCTCCCCCACCGTGATCAGATCAGGTAGGCGCACGTGATGGCATAACGTTGTGCTGGCGCTGCAGGCCTCCTTGTCACTGGGTTGTCATACAAAAAAAGTGCTTTGTATATGTATATATATATATAAACATCATCTTTTGTATTGGCGAGTTATTTTGATGGAATGGCCGATGGCTGATATTTAACTTTATCGCTAATATCGGCCGATATTGATACTATACCAATAATATTGTACATACCTAGAGGAAATTGTATTTTCAGTTTTTCAAAAGTTTATAAAACAGGTTTGAGTTAATTACTGTGAAATGTTTAAGCTCATCAGTCCTGTGAGACCTTAACTATTTCTCCAAACTGAGGTCATTCTAAGAACCATCTACAACAGGTAAGACGTGCATCCTTCATAAATTTCCCACAGAACCCCACCTCAAAATGGCTGGAATTTCCCTTTAAAATGAGCAAACGGCAGCACAGTAACCATAGAATGCATTGATCCGTAACGTGTCATCTCTGCTTTCAACCACAATCATTTGTCCTGGTTTCCACAGTTTGCAAACTTAAAACATCAGGTGAATAAAAAATGAGCATTCTGTAAAGAGGGACATTACAATTGTGTCGCTGTGCAGATGTTGACAGAGAACCAGCTGCTTCGTCATCTTTATCAGATGTTCATTGTTTACTGCATGCATACTTAAAGCTACACTTGTGTAGGCTGAAAGCATAGAATATGAACATTATCAGCAAAAGTGGGACAAACCTTACAGCAGTCATCTCCTGCGTCAACAGATTTATTAGCTCATGTTTAAACTTTGAACAAGATCATTTGGTAAGAGAACAACCTGACGGTTTTATATGACTTTATATTTTCTCGTTTACTGAAAGCTCACTTGCTGTGTTTGAGCCGAGTCAAGCTTCCCCTTCAGCTGCATTCAAAACACCTTAAGCTGTTATGAGCTGAAGATCAGGACCGAATGGAGCTGTCGACAATCTAATATGTGGAAATCCAATAAAACAAGAGTGCTGAAAGCGTCTCAGCATCATAATGCACCGCTCCACATCAGATCACATGACACCACGGCAGCTGACCAGTTCCTCAGAATCAAATCGAGTGCCGGTACAATCAGAGCCCCGCTCTAAAAGCAGGTCACACTGCAGCTGCAGCCCAAACCAGCACTGAGGATTATCTGTCCCTGAAGGTGATGGGGTACCTCTGTGCAGCCTCCTCCTCCTCCTCCTCAGCAGCTGGGTCCTGCCTCCATCCCTCTGCTGACTGAGGCATCAGTCTGCGTCTTTCGCTCTGAATCAGGGTGTGGCAGAATTTGATTACTGGCAGCTGCAGAGTTTCAGCTCCTTTCACTTCGAGACGAAACGTTTCTGATGTGATTTATCACTACTGTATTCAGGCACTTCGGCTGTTATTTTGTTAGCAACAAGAGGATTATCAGTACCTGTCCAAGGACTTGCAAACTGAACTCATCGTGGTTTGAGTGGATGCCAACTTGGTGATCATTTCGTCCACAGAACATCAACTGTGCAAGAATGGACTTGGGAGTTAAAATGGAGTTGTTTTTCTTTACTAACCGGGATTGTATTACACTCACTCTTCTTTTGTTGTTTCAGGATTTATTTAATTTGACAAGAATCACTGGAAAATTGATTCATTTGTTTTGTATTGGAATTTTAGACTTTTGCTCCCTTGATAAAAAGCGATTACTGTGTTTTCAGAAGCCATAACTTCATAATGCTTTATGCCAGATGTCCTTCCTGACACAACCTGGGGTTGAACCTCGTCAGGGTTACAAGCCCACAGCACTGACCACAGAGCTACCACAGGCCTTTCATAACATCATAACTCAAATTATTTTTCCTTCAGCTGCTCCTTTCTTCAGGGGTCGCCACAGTGAGCAAACGCATGAACATCTGGCAACTGGACGCCCTTCCTGATGCAACCACTGGCCACAGAGCTGCCACAACCCTCTGTGTGGAGCAGAGCTGCTATCTAAGGTGCCTGGGGGAGCAGATGGGAGTGTTAAGAGCCTTGCTCAAGGGCCCAGAGCAGAGAAAATGAGGATGGAGTCAGGTGTGAGTGCTTCACCGCCATATTTTGATGTTCCGGTCAGGGGGATTCAAACTGGTGATGCTCCACTCACAGGCTCATCTTTCATAACATAATTTACCAAACTCAAGTTTCAAGTTAAAAAGGTTTAATTTTCTTCTACACAATTATCAAAAACGCCAACATTTGTATTTAACTAAGAGTTTATTCTGATCATGTTCAGCAGGCGCCTTTGACAACTGCCTACAAAGAAACATTTGTGGTTCTGAAGCATTTATATTCAGTATGTCAGTGTGGAATGAGAACTGTACGAGTAAATTTAACTTTTTATTACCTAAAGCAAATGATCTGAATATTTCTTACCCCACTGCTCATGGGTATACTTCATCTGTACGTAAAAACATGAAAGGCAAACACCTGCAGAGATGGCAGATCTCTCTCAGCAGATTAAAGAGGACTTACCCGGGAAGGCATGTGGGTTGGACGACCCTCTCTTGAGGCACTTGGAACAGAGAACATGTACAGAGTAGTGCAGGCCAGGCCACTCCTGCAGCAGCATATTCAGTTCCTCCACCAGCGGAGTCACGGCCTGCCAGGCAGTCCAGATGTTGGGCAGTGAGGCGTGGCTGGCGATGGAAAGAGTCTCTGCCAGCAGCTTCCCTTTAGACGGCTGGTGGCTGATCACCACAGGGACCTTACCCCTGTAGGCGAAGATCTGATACCTTCCGTCTGACCGCTGAACCACATGTCTGTTTATCTGCACGCTGAAGCGTGTGAAAAGTCCAGGAGGAAACAGGAAGGGGAAGCTGTACTGGATGTGCAGTTGCTCCAGAGCGAATAAGGGGCTGGCAGGCAGATTGTTACCACCAGCGGAGTCCTCTGCCTGGACCTCCTCACTGCTCACGTAGCTGGGGAACTTGTACCAGACGGTGGCTCCATTTAGAGGCTTGCAGCGGGGTTTATTGATGCAGTAACAGATTCCCATCTTCTCCAGGAGCTCCATGATGAGATGGAGGTCCTGCTGGGTCTGAACGAGCGGCCTGAGGAGCAGGCGGATGACGTTTGAGGGCAGGAGGCCATGTTGTAGGAAGCCCTCCACATGCTGCTGAAGATGGGTGACCCTGAGGCTCTCTCCCTTCTCGTTCTCTATAACCAGACTTACTCTCCCCTTGTCTCCCTTCTCACCCTCAGAGAGCAGCCGGTCCAAAAGCGTGGACTCATCCCTCAGAAAAAAGACGTTAAGAATTGCAATAAATTGAGGAAGATTGTGAAAAACATACTCCTTTAGAGTTATGCTGTCCTCAAAGTAGAGCAGCTTCCCGCTCTCGTGCAGGTAAGATAAGGCGCTCTGTAGTCGGTCTTCAGTGAGACCTGCCTGAAGGCCCAGACGGGCTGAGCTCCACCACGAGAGCCACAAATCTTTGGACTTAAAGTGCAACTCCTCCAGCATCTGCCAGGACTTTGGCAGCACACGGTGGAGGTTGGGGAAGATCTCCCGTTGGTCTGCAACTGACATGAGCTTCTCCCGCAACCTCTGAATGTTCCTCTGGGTCTCCACGCAGCTGGTGCTCAAAATGGGAGACAAGATCTGCAGCCGGTGGTTCAGGATGTACTGCAGCTGGGCTTTTCTGCGCCTCAGGTTCCTGTCGGTGACACTGTAAAAGAGGACGTGAGGGCTGGAGGTGCGGACGTTGTATCCTTGCTCAAGAGCTTGGTCTACTTGCTGAGCCAGGCTTCTTAGGTTCTGGATGTCGCTCCGCTCCTGCAACCCGATCTGTCGGTGAATGTCTAGAGTCTTCTCCTCTAGCTCCACTTCTTCACACTGGTCTGCGTGAGTGCCCACCAAGCACACCACAGCGTGGGGAACTTTGGCACAAAGCAGATGAAGGAAATACCCAACGTGGTCATAGAAGTTCTTGGCTGAGTAGGCTTTGAGATTGACAACAAGAACATAGAGAGCGCCGGGGGAGAGGAAAAAGGGTTTGATGAGGTCATAGTTTTGATTCCCTGACAAGTCATAAACTAGGAATGTGAGATGGCGATCAGCGTCTGCCACCCAGTTTGTGACTTCAATCCCTTTGTTTGCCTGGGCTCCTCTTTTGTCCTGCTTTTTGTCCACTAAGCTCTGAATCAAGAGGGTTTTCCCGGCATTCTTCCTCCCCATCAGGACCAGCTTTAGCCGTGGCTTCACAGCAAGCTGCGACTGTGCAAGCTCTTTCTGATAGACAGCAATGTAAGGGATTCCCTTCATACACACCTCATACGGAGGCTGGATGAGGGGGTTATCTTTTACCTTCCAAATGTTCACTTTGAACAGCTTCCCAAAATTATCTGGAAGAATGGCTATTTGGTTACCCTGTAAAACAAGCTCTTCCAACTTCTCCAGCTCTACGATAGATTCAGGTAGGTGAGTAATGTTGTTGTTGTCAAGCCATAGGTTCACCAGCTTCACCAGCTGACCGATTTCCTCTGGAACGTGAGTCAGTCTATTCCTGCTCAAGTAAAGTTCCTCTAAACCTGTGATGCTTAAGATAGCCAGTGGAAAGTTCTCAAACTCATTAGAGGACAGATTAATCATTTTTAATTTTTGCAGTTGAGCGAAGGAGGAAGGCAGCACTGTGAGGTTGTTTCCATCCAGCATCAGACTCTCCAGGTTGTGCAGGTGACAGAAGGTGTCGGGCAGGGAGAACATGTGCAGGCTGCTGAGCCACAGGATTTTGGTGGACTTCAACCTCACAACGTCAGCGGGCAAAGCCTCAAACTTGTTCCCAGACAGGTCCAGCTCCTCCAGCTCACCCAGGGCCAGGATTTCAGCTGGGAACCTGTTCAGCTTGTTGTGATCTGCATCCAGAGTCCGCAGCTTGGCGAGGCTGGAGAAAGATCTGGTGAAGTCGTGCAGGTCGTTGAAGCTGACGTCAAGCTCCTCCAGACACTGAAGCGCTCCGATCTGAGCCGGGAGGTTCAGGATTTTGTTGTGACTGAGGCACAACTTCTTCAGCCCCCTCAGCTGGCCCACACCTTCAGACAGGCTCCTCAGACAGTTGTGGCTCATGTCAAGCTCCACCAGCTGCCCCAGCTCCAGCACCACCCTGGGCACGGCGCTGAACTTGTTCCTGCGAAGGACCAGGACGCGCAGGTTGTTGAGGGTGGATCCCAGCCCGTCTGGCAGATCCTGCAGGGAGTTGTTGCCCAGGTTGAGCGCTTCTATCTCGTCTATGTTCTCGGGCAGGACAATCTGGTTGTTTTTGGAGCAGAGGGTGAGCTGGCGCAGGTCGCTCCGCAGCTTCCTGGAGCGCAGGGCGGCATCCCTCCACAACCTGGCCGTTTTCAGATTATTCTCCTTGTCCTCCATGGCGTTGCAGCCGGAGCCCCCCTCCTCCTCCTCCCCCTTGTTTTCATTGAGAGTTCTCATGGATCCTGCGCGGCCAGCATAGCGGAAGGTGTCCCTCGGAAATCGGCGCACTCCTGAACAACAAGCCCCCCCTCGGAGGGAAGAGACGGGCCACTTTGTCTCGGGTTATGATAAAGCGTTTCGACGAGAATGGGAGGAGTGCCTGCGGCCGCATCCTCCTCTCCTGCGCCACTCCGCACACAATGAGCGGACCTCGGTGAGCTCAGAGCTGCGCCTTCCTCCTCCTCATCACCGCCGACCTCATGGCGCACAGCCGCTGTCCTCTGCGTCTGCTTGTCCTGCAAGACCCGAGCGGTTCTGAAGGCTTTCCGAGCCGCGGTGAGTCCAGCAGCCAGCGAGGAGTGGAAGTGAGGCGGCAGCTGCTCCCTGCGTCACCCGAGCTCCTCCTTTTCTCCTCCTTCCTGCTGCGCCGAGGAGGAGGAGGAGGAGGGAAAGTAGCTTTCATCTCTGAGTTAAACCTGCTGCAAATCAGCAGATCCCTCAGATAAATGGTTAGAATGTGAACTTCAGTCTTTGGGCCAATTTAAAAGGAGCAGTAGAAAATGTAATTTAACGTAAAACCAGTTTCTGTTTATGTAAAAATCCTAAATTATACTTAATTTTACAAAAACGTTTTTATATTTATATATGTACTCATATATCCTCTCACTGTTTTTTTTTTTTTTTTAAGTCTCGCGTAAAAAACAACTTTGATTCTGGTTTTTA